AAGGAATATAACCCCAATGCAGAATGGATCCATAAAACCCTTGCACAAACTCTATCGATGCTTATAAATAATCCTAATGAAATCCCGGAATGGATCACTGAAGGTATTACATATCTGATGCCAATAACGAGTGGAACAGATAACCCGAAAAATTATAGGCCAATAAGATATCTGTCCACCACGTATAAATTGATCACGTCTATCCTGACGAACTGCACTTAAACTTTTTTCCGAAGCAAACAACATTCTTCCACTGGAACAGATAGGATGCAGGAGAGGGTCATATGTCTGCAAAGATCAAATACTGATAAACAAAATGATCCAGGAAAATTGCAGGAGACTATGTAGAAATCATAGCGGAGCGTGGATCGATTATCGTAAAGCTTTTGATAGTATGCAACACTCTTGGATTCTTAAGACTCTGAAAATGTACAAAGTCTACCCCGTGATAGTAAATTTCTTTAAACACGGCTTAGATATATGGAAAACCACATTATACCTAAATCACACCAGAGGTACTGCCATCTCCAACCGCCTGAATATCCGACAAACAATCTTTCAAGGAGGCTCCCTGTCACCCCTTTTATTTTGTTTGTCCTTAATCCCCCTTACGCATGAACTAAACAATAATCGCTCTGGTTACAAACTTAAAAAGAAACTATTCATTCACCTACTCTACATGGATGATCTCAAACTCTTTGTCAAAGACGACAATGAGTTGAAAGGCCTTCTCAATACTGTAAAATGTTTCAGTGACGACATAGGCATGAATTTCGAATTAGATAAATGTGCAAAAGTAACATTCAAGAAAGGGAGAATTACAGAAACACACTTAATAGATTTAGATTTTGTCATAAAGATTAGGGACTTGGAACAAGAAGAAGCATATAGGTACCTAGGAATTAGCGAAGGGGATGGAATACAGCATTACCAAATGAAGGAGAGGGTAAGAAAGGAGTACTACAGGTATTGAATACCGAGCTGAATTCAAAAAACAGAATATCAGCCATAAACACATTGGATGTCCTTGTCGTGCAATACAGTTTCAACATCCTTAAATGGACCATGGCTAATATTAAACGAATGGATGCCAAAACGAGAAAGCTTCTCACCTGTAACCGCATGCATCATCCCAAAGCTAATGTTGATCGTCTGTATATGCCCAGATCTGAAGGAGACAGAGAATTAGTTCCACTAGAACTGGCTTACAAAACTAGAACCGACCTTCAAAAGATACCTGGAAACTACAGAAGACTGGATGATGATAAGTGTCAAAGAACACGAAAGTAGTAAGCGACTTTGTTCATCAATAACGGAAGCCAACAGGTTCAAAATGGCGTTTCAAATGGGCGAAGAAATAAAATTAAAGCATAACACACAAACTGAAGTTGCAAAATACTTAAAAAAGAAAGCAAAGGCAAATGCAACCGACCAGATATAGAAATGATGGCAAGATAAACCGCTTCACGGTCAATTCTCTGATCGTACTAAACAAGATGATGTACAGAGACCCCGTACTCATCAGTTGCTATGTAGTGCTGGGTTAAAAGCTGAAACCGAGGGTTTTATTCTTGCTACACGCCACCAATGCTTACAAACTTGAAATTACCAAACACATACTGAAAAACTGTGTTAACTCAAAATGCAGATTATGTGATAAATATCCAGAAATAGTCGATCATCTTGTATCAGGTTGCGTGGTATTGGCATCGACTTAATATAAAACCCGGCATGACAGAGTGGGCCAATATCTGCACAGGAAAAACTGAAACTTTTAAATAAAATAAACTACAAAAAATTGGTATGAAAACTACTCAGACCTGGTGTTGGGGCGCACCCACCTTCTAACTAGTAATGGACTGGTCCCTCTTATATAAGTCAGCTCTGGAGAGAGAGTGACAGAGCGTCAGAGAGAGCGTCAGCGTTAGCAGTCCAGATAAGCTTACCCGGTACATACCGTTGGACTATAGACTGGATATTGTTTCGTACTAACCAACCTTCGTTCTACTAATCACTCTATTGTTAATTGCTTTTATGAATATACCAGTATTTTCCTCTACAACTGTGTTTGTCTTAATTCATACACCGACACGCGGGAAACTCACAACATCTCAACACCTGGTCACGGAGATAAGGCTTATGGGACTTTACAATACACACAGACAGAACAATGAAAGCTAATCGCCCAGACATCGAGATCAGAGACCGCAAAAAGAAAATGTTCTTTTTATTGACATGTCAGTCTCTGCAGATTGCAATGTATCTTTGAAGATCTTCAAAAAGCTATCATAATACAAGGATCTTGAAATCGAAATCTCCAAAATGTGTCACATGAGAACATCAATAATTCCAGTTGTAGTTGGAGCCCTCGGATTAATTGGAAAAGATTTCAATAGACTCATTGAAGAGATTCTTGGTAGGCTTTAAAGGAACACAAAAAAAGATTCTTACGAGTACAGTCCACATCTTACGAAGGGCTTTATCTATGTATATGTGATTTTTTTTTTTTTTTTTTTTTTTTTTTTTTTGCTCAGTGGAAAAGGTCATGATGCCATTTCTGACCTTACGTCTCTGGTTGGGACCCGGAAATAAATGAGTACACACCAGAAATCAAAAGAAATAAAATAATAATATTAATAATATAGTATAATTGATACTTTTTAGATGTCTATCTGAAATGAGATTTGAAATAAATGTTTAACATTGGTACCGATACAAAAAAAAAGTGTTTAGAAACGACCAGGTCAAAATCTTACAGGAATTTCAATATCGAAAAAGACCGCATTATTTAGGTCAACAAACCAAACATCGCTTTGTTGAAAAAACAAAAAACAAAATGTCTCTTAATTGATGTAACTGTTCCTGGTGACCCTAATGTCAAAATGAAATAAATAGAAAAGTTTAAAAAGTACATTGACCTACGAATTAAAGTTGCCAGGACATGGAACGTTAAGGTTACTATCTTTCCAGTTATCATTGGAGCGTTAATGTCTATAACAACGAGCCTAACAACCTGCATTAAGAAAAGCTGAATAAGGCCTAACATTCAATTCACAAGTCCGCGTTGCTTGGCTCAGCAAATATTCTGCAAAAATGTCTATTTAAGCTTAAAATACGTCTGTTATTGTGACTCTGATCTGTATAGAAACTACCGTAGCCAGAAAGTTAAAGGATCAGTTTACATACTGATTTAGTCATAGAATTGATCCCTCATTTTATATCCGCATTATTCTTTCTACTTTATCAAATATTGATTGGGTATGAATCTAGCTTTTATCCTTGTATCAGTAAATTGTTATTATCACCAAAATATATTCTTAGAATCTAAAAATATTTTCTGGCTTTAAATAACCTGCAAAGGGTTGATAAACCGTAGAAAATGGATGAATCAATCAATCTACTGATTAAGCAAAAGAAATTTAAAGAAGAAATTAGTAACACTTGTAAAGCATTATTATCGTCAAAATATATTCTTAGAATCTAAAAATATTTTCTGGCTTTAAATAACCTGCAAAGGGTTGATAAACCGTAGAAAATGAATCAATCAATCAATCTACTGATTAAGCAAAAGAAATTTAAAGAAGAAATTAGTAACACTTGTAAAGCATTATTATCGCCAAAATATATCCTTAGAATCTAAAATTATTTTCTGGCTTTAAATAACCTGATAAACCGTTGAAAACCAATCAATCACTTCCTTGTACTACAACTACTGCTTTTAATACTACTACTACTACTTATTATTATTATTATTATTATTATTATTATTATTATTATCTTTTACCTTCTGTTTCGTACACTCCTTTGCCAAGATTTTATCTGTGACCTGGAGTATGGCATTCTGTTTGCACAAATTCTGATCGTAAGCGATACTTAATATGTACACAGTTGATGTTTTCTTTACATTGATAAGACTCCTGATTACGCGAGAAGCTACATTATTTCGAATCTCTTGTAAACAGGGGTTGCCAGGTATCCTGTTAACGTTCTTGCCAGTACCTAAGTTGACATATTTTCTCAAATTCGATTTCAAGATCCTTATATTTACTTATCTTATGTTATTCTTTAACAAATATATATTTTGATCTAATGGCCCTACCATATTTATAACAAGCCAATTTTTGTTTGGAGTTTTTTTTTAATCATTATACATAGCTTGTTGGCTTTTATATGTCTGTCAATATTAATGAAAGTCCCAAAGAATAAATAATTCATGGCCTTCTATGGCTTTCAGGAAGATGTTACTACCATTTTTCAGCATGTCGCACACTGCAATACTAACATGTCCGAATATTAACATGAATATATGCTGTTCAATCTTTTAATGTTGATCCTTGTATTTTGTTTGTGACAGGATCTGACAAAGCAGACACTAAGTAGTCAATATCCTATTATAATTGTGCTTGTCCTTTCGTTAGTTCACACAACCGCCTATACTTTGTAAATAATGAACTATTCCGTTTTGATCGCATGGAAAGAGGGGAAAGACACTACTTGGTTTCAAGTGAGAAAGTGAAAGAAAGACAGCAAAAAAGGGAGATAGAAGTAGAGAAAGGGAATCAGATTAAACTGATAATAAGAACAGATATTACACTTTGATCTTAACCAAAAATCTCCAGAAGGAATGGCGGCTGTTATAAAAGCGGCATTTTTCTGATGCACGAACGACGGAAACTGAGTAAGATAATCGCCAAAAATCCAGTTACCATAAATAAAATAAAATCGTCTGCTGAATTATTTTTCAATTATTATTGAGATAAATGTTCGTTATGTGGAGATTTGGCTAGTTACTAGTAGTTTAGTGTAAATTGATTGATTGATTCGTTTTTTATGGCTTATCAACCTTTTGTTGATTATTTAAAGCTGGGAAATATTTTTAGATTATAACAGTTTTTTGAAGTAAGAATGATTTATTGATACAAGTCTTACTAATTAACCGATAACTGAGGGGGGAGAAGCGATGGATTCATTTTATTCCCAAGGGTATTTGAGCGCATCCAAACACCTAGTATTCCCAAGCGGTCGCCCATCTAGATACGGTTCTATGTTGACGTTGCTTAACTTCGGTGATCTTATGAGAACCGATGTTTCAACGTGATATGGTCGCAAGCTAGTTTAGCTTTTACATTCAGGATAAGACCGGATGCGACCGGATAAAACCGGATACGACCGGATACGACTGAATAAGACCGGATAAGACAAGATACGACCGAATAAGACCAGATAAGACTGGATACGACCAAATAGGACCGGATACGACTGAATAAGACCGAATAAGACTGGATACGACCAAATAAGACCGAATAAGACCGGATATGACCGGATATGACCGGATGAGACCAGATAAGTCGGATTCTTAAACCTTATTCTTAAAAAGACATATTTCAATAGAGGTTTCCGCAATGTTTATGCGAAGACAAGATTGACTTTTTACAGATTTGTTTTTTTTTTATATTTCTTTTTTTCGCGTAAATTACAGGGATGAGGGGCAAACTTTACATTAGATCGAATTTCAGTCGAGTATATTGCGATAATTTAAAATCATTAAATTAGATTTATTTAATCATCCGTTTAACAAAATACATAGAGAATGCAAAAATAATTTCTGTCGACGACCCACAGGATGACCGTTACGTTGTCTTGTAACATTGTCTTGTAACATTGTCTTGTAGCATTGTCATGTAACAGAAAATGGATAATAAATTCCCGGAAAATATTAGTATTAGGTTGGTGCAAAAATAATGTTTTTTGACGTTCAACTTAACGTCAAAAAATGACATTATTTTTGCACCAACCTAATATTTACATGCTTCATGGAAATTAATGATTCCCAATAAAATTAATATGAAAAAATATTTTCTACCTTTTGGACATATTGTTAAATGTTGAAACAGTAAAATAGGTTATTTAACTAATGCAGAATTTTTCAGCTCCAACAAAGATTCCCAACCTTTTTTTGGGGGGAGGGGACATGCTCCACCTAAGCATCTCTAAAATGTTTTTTTTTTTCTTCACTTAATATATATATAGATTTTTTTCAGCTACAGCATTATTTAAATGTCGTAGATGAGCGGTCAGTTTGGATTTAGGAAAATAATTGTTTACAATGTTACAATAACATCAGCACAATGTCACGTATTTGCAACGTTACAAAGAGGCTCAATGTCAACTGAGCAGAATTTCATCAATTACTACTTTATTATTGAAATATCTGAGTCGCAAGAATGGGTCACCTGCTGACTGCTGTTAGCCAGACAGAGGTATTCGTGACGACCGATGATTACCCCGCTTTTTCTAGGGGTTTCTATAATTGGGGTGGGCTGCGGGAATCCTGAATAGGCCAGCACAGTGACGAGTCGACACAGCAATCACGAACCCACCGACAATGTATGGATGCAAACTAAAAAAGCCTGCCACCATTGCCCGTGGGACCATCGTTGATAGTTTAGGTGTTAGTACTGTCAAAAAGGCAGTAAATGATTTTATTGTATTTGAAATAAGGACTTCATCTCCGGGTATTTTAGGCTTAAATTCCTGATATATATTTTCATTTCTTTTTATCCATGCTATCTTTGTTTAAAATGAACAAATTTTTCGATATCCGTGTTTGTTTATTTATGCATTATTTCATCATTTTTAATGCTGTCTAGTATATTTGTTTACTTATACTTAAAAAACCGTTAATATTTTTTGAGCTTCTATTGAAATTATTTGCATTATTTACATTATTCGGACTGTTATCCTCATCTTCATTGTCATATTCTCAAATTTTCGGCCTTTGTAAGCTCCGGCCTTTTTCAGGTGACTGGAATTTCGAACCGAATCCTTTATTTCGTCCACCGGGGTAGATTGCTCTAGTTCCACGTGCCATGCCTTTTCTAGATGTCTCAGTTATTTCCCTTTAACTCAACGATAGGCAACAATAAACTACAGAAGAACTCAAAATGGATAGCTGCATTAAAGTATCACATTGATATTTAAACTTACCTTTTAAAAGTTCAACGATAATTCTTCTGCCGGCACTTAATTTAAAGACAATCTGATGGCCGTAGGTCCTTACTTTCCGTACAAATAATTATTTTCATTTTATGGGTTAATTTCGCTGGATTTCGCAATTAATTTAAATTATTCCCAAATTTATTTCTAATTTGTAAAAATTGCTATCGTCCCAAAAAACCGGCGAAAACTATCGCAGTAATGAAAATTTGTGAATCCAAAATTTCAGGATTGCGAGTTCGATTCCGGCCCTGAATGTTTTTAATTTGCTCACGGGGTTGGTCTGATTTCAAAATGATATGATATGTTGGGTTTCTTCCTCTAGGAGTAAAGTTTAAAAGATGTGACACAGTGACACACTGACATTTGTATTAATATATATATATATATATATATATATATATATATATATATATATATATATATATATATATATACGAGCAGCATGGCCCGGCGTTGCCCGTGCTTGATTCAAAAATCGTACGTCTCATACAGTAATCGCTATCACTTGACTTAAAATATTTTTGCCCTTCCTTGCCTTTTTAAAGGAGTGCCCTTTGCCGTGCTGATGTTGCTACATGCCTTACTTCTTGCCTATCTCATACTGCGAATTTTTTCTAAGCTCTATACTAAACATTAACTCTGTTACGAAAAAAATGAACACAAAACGATCAGCTTTAAAAAAGGACTCGTAACTGGAAAAACCGAATGAAAAAAGAATGTTAACAACAAATACTTTTCACACCCAACCCAGTTCTGCGGAATCAGAAACAGCGTTGAGTTTAAGCAAGCGAATAAGCCAATTGGAGTAAAGTGCCATGCAGATTTAAATTTGTCCCACTTGTGACGAATGCAGCTATCGATTTTTTTTTTGCATGCTAGCATGCTAGTTAACATTCGTGTCAGTCAGCTGTTGGCTCTCACGCTAGCCAATAGATTCTTCCTGCCTATTCGTGGCAGCCAGCTCTCACTCTGGCCAGTAGAAAATGGCCGCAAACTACATAAAAACTGCCGAAGAAGCATGAAAAAATCGATTATTTCCACTATCGATGGGAGTTGGGAAATGCAAGGTCGGTCTTTGCCTTTCTACTAACTTGGAGCATGTGCATGTAAATTTTTGATGCAAATTGCGAAAATTGCGGCCGTGCATTCGTTACACACACACACGCACATCCTGCCTTATATATATATATATATATATATATAAAGTGAACATAGAAGTCAACACTTAGAGGCGACAGTCTGTTTCATGCTATATGCAATCGTCAGGCCTGACGATTGCATATAGCATGAAACAGTCGCCTCTAAGTGTTGACTTCTATGTTCACTTTTTTATATTTACACACGCTCTATCTCTGATATTGAGCACTTTATCCCATAAATATAGCACACCTTAAGACTATATTTCTTTTTATATATATATATATATATATATATATATATATATATAAATTTACAGCATTATTTATCATCGACTTTATGTCGTATTCGACGAAGACACATGGAGATTCATCTAGTTCTGGCGGTTTGAATCGAGGGGAAACCATGTTTCTCGTGGCAGTCCGCAGCCAGGTGCTCCCAGTTGCGATCTGCATCGTTTTCAGGTCCCTCTTAGTGCAGTCTTTATAGCCAGTGTCTTTGATCGCCTCGCCGTCGTTTCCTTCCCGCACTTTAATTCACCACACTGAGTGATTTTCGGCAATCGACTGTCGTCTAAACGATTCACATGCCGACTCCATCATAGTCTCGCTGCTGTTAGCAGGGATTCTACACTCGGCATGTTTGCTTTGGCAAGGAATCTGGTGTTGGGAACATATTCTTTCTGCGAGATATGCATGATGTGCTTTAATCCGTAAAGTCGAGGTATCAAAGGAAAGCCCATCCGAACAATACCCATGTACTATCAAATGCACCTGGGTGACTACATTTCACAATAAAAGAACAAGAATTAAGAAGCCAGAAGATAATGATTGACATTGCATATACATTTTTGAATATCAAAGTTGACTGGTAAGCAATGAGCCAAAAAAGTATTCCACAAGCGAGAAGTGCGATAGAAGAAACTGTTAGTATCTGTCTATATTTCTGAGATGAGGTATTATGTACACTATTTACATTGCTCGGACTATCATCCTCATCTTTGTTGCCATATTTATCACAACTTTTCAGCCGTTGTATGCTCCTTCTTCAGGTGTTTGGAATGTTGAACTGAACCCTTTATTTCGCTCACTGGGATAGACTGTTCTAGTTCCACGTGCCATGTTTAATGGATGTCAGTTATCAGTTATCTTCTGTTAATTCCCCTCTCCAAGTTCCCCACCACCTTAACTATATATTGAACTCACACTCTTTGGGTCCTATCACTGGATCTAACTAACGCCTTTGTCCACTGTGCTTTGTGTCCTTGAGGACAGATGGCACAGTGGATAAAGGCGTTAGCGAAATAAAGGCTTCAGTTCGACATTCCAACCACCTGAAAAAGGCCGGAGCGTACAATGACCGAAACGTTATGATAAATATGGCAACAAAGATGAGGATGATAGTCCGTGCAATGTAAATAGTGTAAGAAACTGTGAGCATAGAACTTACAGTTACATCTAACCATTTCAACTGTAAAATGATGAGACCTTGCCGTCAATCTAGTACTGCGCTTAAATTCTTAAAGTCTATGTAACATAGTGAAAAGAAGAATTAGCATGAAATTATTTAAAGGAAAGGCACAGGAAAGCTACATTATGGTGGTAGGAAAGTGACTGAAGCCGAAACGCCAATAAGTGAATCTTATGCGAGAGAAGAAACTGCTAGCATAGAACTTACGGTTACATTTTCTATCGTCTGCTCAAAGACTTCCCAAATAGTGAAACTTCTGTATTTGTTTGATTTTGGCATCTCCAATCCGTACTTCACATCTTGGACTTTCTCACCTGATGACAAACAAAAATTCTTTCTTCTCGCAAGTAAGCCTGCATTTTATACAGAAACCTACAAGTCGCTGAATCTGCATGCAAAAATCGAGATTTGGGAGGATACTAATCATTATTTGGTTTTCCTGACCAAAAACTGGTTTCATCATCTGAAAGACACCGTCCTGCCTCTCATCAGCATGGTTGATGC